ATTTTAATTAAAAGAAGAAATAATTCATTAATATTAATTCATAACATATAATATAAAATATTTTAAATGTACATATTTTAAAATTTACATTTACATTTTAAAAATTTTATATTATATGTTACAGTAAATTATTTTTTTAATTAAAATAATGAATTAATTTTATCGTATTATCATTATATATAAATATAATAAATATTAATTAAAACATTTCTGCAATATGTACGTGTATATGTGTAAGATTACAATACAATTGCTACAATCGCGTGCCATGTCGTCTGGTTGATTATAATTTCAAAGGAAGATTAGAAAAAATCGCGGTTGATAAGCCGCAACAATAAATCTCTTCGATAAACTTCAATGCCAAACTCAATGCTCAAGAATTTTTTAGATATCTCGGAAGATTAAAAACAAATTTTTAAATTTAGAAAATTGTGAAAAGTTAACGGCAAAGACGTAACAAGATACTTACGAAGCGCTACTTATTCATTTATAAAACGAGTATAGTTGATGAGAAAGTGATTTATTGTAAAAAAAAATAGTACAAAAAATATAGAAAAGATTGTTTTGACAAGTTGCATATTTTTTAATAAAAATATATCTATTTAAATAGATAAATGTAACTTTCATATTAAAAACTATTCTTTTCTTCAATATAGTCTACGGACGATTACACATAAATAAAAAAGATTATTATTTATTTTTAATTTCTTGTTATGATACTCCTTCAAAACTTCAATTTTTGTAATTGCGTCAACCGCCATTTATTGGATATGTTGTATAACTATTTGTACAAAAATTGTTTTTCCAACATATATTTTTAGAAAGTACGTATATATTGCTTTCACTTATTTATATTATTATTATAATATCATATTGTGTGTGTGTGTGTGTGTGTGTGAGCGTGCGCACATAAAAAACAGATATATTTTAAATTTACATTTAATTGTTTATTTATTTGTATTTTATATTATTTTTTGACATGTTATATTATAAAATTCGCCAAAAAGTTAAAATTTAAAAAAGAAACTTTTGCGAAAATCAACATAATTAAAAATTGAAGTTTTTTTCAAGTTTGAAAAAGATTTAAATTTGATACAATACTGTATAATTAATTGATAATTCATTTCAATTCATATTAAAAAATCATATACAATTGAGGAGAATCTATTTTGATTTTACTAAACAATTTTTCCTTCTTTCCTCTTCTTCTTTCCTAATGTTTGTTCCTAATGTAACATGAGGTATTCTTGCGATATGAAAATGAAGAACGAATATATGTTGCGTGACGATAGCAAGGTCTCGTGATCTCAAAATGTGCCATAGCGATTACGGAAAAATAATTCGCTCGAGAAAATAATGGCCGGTGTAAGGGGCACTAGTCAGCCATCGTTCGATAGAGCAAAATGATTATGAAGGATAAGAAGTCTAGCTAGAAAGTAAAAATGTACGAATGTTACAATACTTAGGTATATTACGTATGCTTCTATCGCGTTTCTTTGATTTCCGCCTTTCTTGGTGACATGAACTACTACAGCAAACAATCGATCACGGAGACATCAATGCCAGGTTTGTCATTGATTTCGCGCGTAAATAAATGGCTGCTGCCAGGCGAGAAATTGCGCAATCAATTGCGAAAAATTGTATCGTATGAATTGTATCGTTGTTTTAACGAGTAAAATTTTATCGAGAAAGAAAACAGCCAGAAAGTGAGAATAACCAACAAAGTAAGAGATTCTCGCGAAGCAATGAATCCAACTTGAAAATTACTTGAATAATTATTTTAAAAGCAACGTTCTCGAAGGTAAGTCAAGCAAAGAGAACTTGGTGTTTATTGATCCCACGAGGCCGCGGTTGACCAACGGTCAATGAGATACGGTCTCTCCCCCATTCTCTTGCCACCCTCTACAACGGCCACCTTCTTAACGGAAGTAGGAATTGCCCTCCCTCTTCTACCATCCACTCACTACTCCGTGATTCATGCGTTCTCAGGTGTTCTGACTAAGGAAATGTTGATCGCTGTGCGCTTATCGAACAGTTTGAGAAAAATTCGTGCTTTGGAAATTCTTAACCATTTTGTCGATAATTTCTTTTTATTCGGTTTTTTCATCTATTAACAAACTGCCAATTTGGAGCGATTTTGTATGTACATACAACGTAACCTATGTCGATATATCGCAAATGTTACACAAGGTTACCAATTTCTATTTATACAATTGCCGATCAACAACGCCGATCAACAAATTTTGCATCTTTCTCAAGAATCGCATACGGCACATACGACGCAATAGTGACTTCTCGTTGGTAGTATGTAATTAGGTCACCAGTAGCGTGGCAAGTAATAGCGAGGAACAAACACGCAATTTGCGTTAAGAAAAGAGAACGAAGGTGAACGAACATATAATAAAAATCTAATTAATAGCACGATTCTTTATCACGATGGCGCATAAGTGTAAAGACGCATACAACATGTGAGGTTGTCAGAAATGACGATAATAAGAATGCAAAACACACCTATACATATACCTATACATATACCTATATATATATAATATACATACATATACCATTTGCTACACAAAATACAATGTTACTCTGAAGAGTTGAATCTTTATGAATGAGTTGGTCTTTCAGAATTATAAAATTTGAAACAAATTGACTTTTGTCAAGCTTTTAATTACAAGAAAAATTTTACGACCTGATTGCAGGTAATACTGAAAGTTTATTCATCAGAGAATTTCAAGTGAACTCTGATAGAATTAAATTTAAATTTAAATTAATCAGTTTAAATTTAATCAATTTAAAACTGATTATGAAGATGTTTGGCTTAAAAAGAGAGAGAGATTGTTTGGGTTAAAAATTTGATTTGAATAAAATAAATAAGTTTTTAATATATTTTCAGCAACAAGAACTCCGAATGGGAAGGGTATACAGAGAAGAATCTGCTGCGCTGGTAGAAATAATCGTAGAAATGTATTCGAAAGATTTTCTTAAGAAGAGGAAAAGAAAAGAAAAAAAGGAAACAAACAAGAAAAAGTTAGACGCGTAAAGATATCTAGAAAGAAAGAAAAATGAAAAAAAGGAAAGCCAACGGGGGAAGGGGGAAAGTACACGCGATTGTTCTGCGCAAATTCACTCCTATTCTTTTATATGATTCAGCTAACGCTCTTAAATCCCTTTCATGTTTTTCTATTACATTCTTATACTCATTGTTAGTTTCCATTGTTTCAGGAATAAATCATTCCTTCTCCCTTTCTACCTCTTCTCTTGCCGGATAAATGCGCCTAAAGCAAACGTGCTTTTAATATAGTGGACATTATGCTTTATAGCCTATTATATTCATACTATATCCGATATCTACAGAGAATTTTTACGGAAACTATAACTACCTAATGTTACATTTCTCTCTGCAAAATAAATTTTGCTAGATATCAGATGTTTGTACGATGAATATCAGACACGATCTAAATTAAAACGACATCCAAGGAAGTTAAAAACTTCCGGAGTGGAATATCCGAGGCAAATATTAAAGCATTGAAATTATATTTCATATGTGCTTCATTTTCCCAAAATTTATGCTTTCGGAAATCTTAATTATTTTTCACTTCGTTAACAGGTTTTCTTTATTATTCAAATATCTAGAAAATTGATGGAGAAATGATATTTTATCTTAAATAATTTAATATTCAAATCGCATCTCTCCGTTCTTCTTTACACCTTTCTCTTTAACTAATCAAATTATAATGTAGGTTACACGATCGACATGCAAAGTTTAGTTGTTTAATGAAAGAATCGTGCATAAGCTTCAGTCACTTTGGCGGATTAAAGAATAATCTTATATAGTTGGCGATCGAAATAACTGAACGATACCTACATCAAGCCGCTCCGTAATACAAGAGTTAAATTGGTCACACCTTTGAACTAACGGAAGGGTGTGAACAGAATCATCACGCCGAATGACGTAAGATAAAATGAACTCGCTTTTCATCCATTGCTTCGATAAGTCTAACAAGCAATCAGATGATGAGAAATCTTTTGATCGAGAGTTCTTTGCTCTAAAATTATATCATAATTAGAGATAAGTGACATTCCCAAATTTTAATATAGAACAAGATTAAAGAATATTATAAAACCTTATATTATATTCATATATATCC